TGGATTGTTTTTCGAAAATTGTACGGATTGTACGGATTTCTTCTGAAAATGTACGGATTTTTGTACGGATGTGTTCAAAAAAGTTTTGGCCACCCAAATAAATTACAATAAATTAACTAAAACAAGAAATAGAAATAAAAGTAGTTTTTAGGAGTTTAATAATTTGATTTGTTCATCATTTCCTTTTTCGCGAACACATACTTTTTATTGAACAATAGAATTAGATATGAATAAAATTTATTGTGATTAAAATCAAAGAAAATATTTAATATAACTAACAATTAAAGGATTCTGTGGGTACTGATGTGGGCAACTATCTTAGGCTTAATGATGCAAAGGCTGGCCGCAAGGTAATCAATACTTAAACATTTCTATTTTATACCTGTGACTTAAATGACTGGATTTAAAGAAACTGTGTCCAAAACTATAAAATGCATGGGTTTTAAGTTAAAGCTGTTCTTGTAAAATAATGAATTCAAGGCAAAATTAAACTTGATTACAGACGCTTTTAAATCATCATAAAAATGGGTAGTTTGAACAGGAAAACGCCGCAAATTTTTGCAATGAATGAATCGTAATTGATAGATAAAAAATTGATAGATAAACAATTATGAGACTGCAAGATTTTCCTGGGGTTAAATGTTTAAATTGTCGATTTCAGTGAATGAAATATTTAAGCTATAGCTTAAAGTTAAGGTTTAATGGCAGTACAGACGTGTTGTATCACGTGACAATGATACTGCAGTGCCATTGGTGGAAGTTCTGGTCACGTGATACGGACGTATTAATTATATTATCAATTATATCTATTAAAAATGAAAAATTATTATATTCAAATAATAATATGAACAAACATAAGTTTTTCAGGCTCCTCTGGTATATCGTCGTTTTCAGATTGGTTGCGTATTTGCTGAATATGATCTGTTTAAACCTACAAATTATTAAATAATAATATGAACAAACCCAAGTTTTTCAGGCTCCTCTGGTATATCGTCGTTTTCAGATTGGTTGCGTATTTGCTGAATATGATCTGTTTAAACCTACGATTTTTATACAAAATTTTAAATATATGAATTCTGGTATAAATTTGTCACAGTCTCATATCAATATCTTGAGACAGGAACTCATATAGGTCTCGATCAACTCCTAAAATGTTTAGGTTTCAGTCTATACCCCTTTTCATTTTTCCTTAACTGTCTCTAGGAGTTAAACCTCAATTTAAAAGTTTGAGGAGTTAGTCCTTGAAGCTAATCAATATTCACTAAATTAGTTTTACCCCTAGATTAAAGAAGTGAATTTATAAAATCTATCTTAATGTCACTTTTAACATAAAAGTTGCAGCTTAAGAAAATATGCATTTAAAATGTTCATGTTCAATGATTAATCTAATGAATGAGATTGTAAGTTTTTCTTTAGCATTGGATGTGAATAATTTTAAAAATTTGCAAAATATATTCCACTGGAGCAATCATAGATACATACTTATAAGTGATTACTGACTGTTGAATTATATCCTGTATTATATCATATCTGTTCGGTTCCATAGTCGTAAACCTATCGTGTAAGAATTCCCATTATTACACGGTTCAGGAGGAAAATTTTAATATTGTTCGCTTCCTTGCGTTTAAGAATGCTTATTCTTACACTGAAGGTGTAGAATTTTCATTCTTTAACGCTNATATTTTCATGTTCAATATTCACTAAATTAGTTTTACCCCTAGATTAAAGAAGTGAATTTATAAAATCTATCTTAATGTCACTTTTAACATAAAAGTTGCAGCTTAAGAAAATATGCATTTAAAATTTTCATGTCCAATGATTAATCTAATGAATGAGATTGTAAGTTTTTCTTTAGCATTGAATGCGAATAATTTTAAAAATTTGCAAAATATATTCCCCTCGAGCAATCATAATTACATACTTTAAGTGATTACTGACTGTTGAATTATATCATGTATCATGACCATTCAGGTTGGGAACTGTGACCGGCCTTCACCTAGCCGAGATCTGTTACAGACAATATCCGTTTATACCGAGGATACTTCTTTGGATCTGTACAGAGATTGCTATCATTGGTTCAGATATGCAGGTATCCGGTCACTAGTCTGTTGTCCATCTCTTAAAATGGTTGAACCTATCTGGTCCACATTTTTTGGCCAGGTTTATAATTTTTGAAATTGTTTTAAATCCGCACATAAAAGCAGACAAATCGGTTATTTTTTTTTATTATTCTTAAAAGGCTTGCAGATAAATCAACAACCTAAAATAGCTAAAGTTAAAGCCATGACCCACAACTATTTACTCTTCTGTTCAACAACAATTGTTAAGTCTTCCGGCAATTTTTATATTTTTCAATCTCTCTTGGTTCAAAATTTGAATATTAATTTAGGAAGTAATAGGAACAGCCATCGCCCTCTATTTGCTGTCCAATAAAACTATACCGTTGTGGGGAGGAGTACTCATAACAGTCCTGGATACTTTCACATTTCTTGGACTAGGTAATATTTTTATAGTTGTCATTTTCATATTTTTAAGTCCTAAAACTCAAGTTGTCATTTTAATATTTTCAAGTCCTAAACTCTATTAGTCATTTTCATATTTTCAAGTCCTAAAACTCAAGTTGTCATTTTCATATTTTAAAGTCCTAAAACTCTAGTTGTCATTTAAGTCCTAAAACTCTAGTTGTCATTTTAATATTTATTAAGTCCTAAAACTCTAGTTGTCATTTTCACATTTTTTAAGTCCTAAAACTCTAGTTGTCATTTTCATATTTCAAAGTCATAAACTCAAGTTGTCATTTTCATATTTTCAAGTCCTAAACTCTATTAGTCATTTCATATTTTAAAGTCCTAAAACTCTAGTTGTCATTTTCATATTTTCAAGTCCTAAACTCATATTTTCAAGTCCTAAACTCTATTAGTCATTTTCATATTTTCAAGTCCTAAACTCTATTAGTCATTTTCATATTTTCAAGTCCTAAAACTCTAGTTGCAAGTCCTAAACTCTATTAGTCATTTTCATATTTTCAAGTCCTAAACTCTTTGTCATTTTCATATTTTAAAGTCCTAAAACTCTAGTTGTCATTTTAATATTTATTAAGTCCTAAAACTCTAGTTGTCATTTTCACATGTTTTAAGTCCTAAAACTCTAGTCGTCATTTTCATATTTTCAAGTCCTAAACTCTATTACTCATTTTAATATTTTTCAAGTCCTAAAACTCTAGTTGTTATTTTCATATTTTCGAGTCCTAAGACTCAAGTTATATTAATCTAAATCGCAATGTTTGAAATTTATGATCATGAGATTTATGTCAAATTTGGAGTTTTTAGGAGCTTTTAGGTTGAGTTTTGGAATAAAATGATTTTTAGGGTAAAACAGATTAATTTTTGGGGTAAATTAAGTATTAAAAAGTGTAAAATCCACTTTTTTCCATTTCTTTAAAAAAAAATTTTTTTTTGAAAATTACATATAATTGGAAATTGTTTTGATCAAAAATAAAATGGAATTCATAAATTCTGTTCAGATAAATACGGGTTGAGGAAATGTCATTTTCATATTTTCAAGTCCTAAACTCTATTAGTCATTTTCATATTTTCAAGTCCTAAAACTCTAGTTGACATTTTCATATTTTCGAGTTCTAAGACTCAAGTTATATTAATCTAAATCGCAATGTTTGAAATTTATGATCATGAGATTTATGTCAAATTTGGAGTTTTTAGGAGGTTTTAGGTTGAGTTTTGGAAAAAAATGAGTTTTAGGTTGAAACAGATTAATTTTTGGGGTAAAGTAAGTATTAAAAAGTGTAAAATCCACTTTTTTCCATTTCTTAAAAAAAATTTTTTTTTTGAAAATTACATATAATTAGAAATAGTTTTGATCAAAAATAAAATGGAATTCATAAATTCTGTTCAGATAAATACGGGTTGAGGAAACTAGAGGCATTCTTCGCCTTCCTCATCACTGTCATGGCCTGGAGCTTTGGATATGAATATGTTGTTGCTAGGTCAGAATTTTAAGAAAATATAAAATTTATGTTTTTAAAACTTAGCTAACGGAAAGGAGTGCTATGCCTCGACCCCCTCCCCCTCTAGATAATGAAAAATTTTAAATTACCATGGTTATAAAACAGAGGAGAACTTAAAAAAAAATAACATAAAAATGGTCAAAATAGTTATAGAATTCTAGGTATTCGTCAATAAAAAAATTTCCTTCTGTGCCTTTTGACAATTGACATTGACAAAAAAACCTTCGCCCCATTTACTAAATCTGGCTAATTGTAGACAATTTTTGTGTTAAAATGTAAAATTTAGAATTGTAATTAGACATGTATATTTTAAAGAATTTAACATTAAAAAATCTCTTTTTCTTTAGTCCAAACCAGGCCGAGGTTGTGAAGGGTTTAGTTATCCCCTGGTGCAGTGGATGCGGGAGCAGAGAACTACTTCAGGTAATTTGGGAACAGTCCCTTAGAAACTTGCCGAGTCAGGATTGTTCGAATACTGTACTGTCAGAAAATATACTGACCCGTTTCAATAAGAACACTGGCGAGTAATGTAAACAATAAACGTAAATAAAAGGTCCTCAAAGGCTGCAATAAACATTAATACATAATGACATGTGTGTGTGGGGGAGGAGGGTAGGGTAGGGGGTTCGTTTAATGCCTACTTTAACTTATTACTTTCAAATCTGCCATACTTTCTTCTTTTCATACCTGCTTCACTTTGTTCATTTCTTAGACCCCCCCCCCCCCAACTGTGTTTTTTTTTCATACCACCCTTTCTACTCTATTGCTTTCATTCCCGCCCCCCTTTTTCCTTTCATACCTGTCACCCTCAACTTTTTTTCTTTCATATCCATAAGACGGTATTGATGTGTACTATGTAAGTTGTACTAAAGCTCAGGGAGCTCAGGAGAGTATTTACCAACAAAAAAAACAAGGTTTTCAATTGTTGCCTACTAGTGCAGTACAGTTTTCGGAAAATCCTGCTTTTTGAAGTCATCTTCCCCTGCGTCTCTTGCTTGGTTGGGAAACAGTTCCTTAGTTATTGGTGATGCTTACTTTTATACTCAGTTTGGGTACACTGAAAATTATGGTACTTTACGTAGATTTTGGGGCACAATATTAATATTGAGAGAAAAATAATAAAAAAATGTTTTTTTTCAATGTTTTCATACTTCCAGGCTGTTGGAGTTATTGGTGCAGTTATTATGCCACACAATCTCTACCTTCATAGTGCTCTGGTCAAGTCAAGAGATATTGACAGGTAGATTAAAACACAAATAGGTGACACTAGACAAGGACATTGGACGGTAGACAAGGACATTGGACGGAAGACAAAACAGCAGAAGTAGACAATAGAATTAGTCGACGGACGGTAGACAAAAAGAGGGGACGCTAGACAAAGACATTGGACGGTAGACATAGACAGGAGACAGGAGACATTGACGAGGGACGGTAGACATAGACAGGGGATATTATGGCAATAGAATGTAAACGATAAACATGGACATGGGACAGTAGACAGTAGACAAAGACAGGGAACAGTAGACTTTAAAAGGGGACGGTAGACATTGACTGGGGAAGGTAGACAAAGACGGGGTATGGTTGACATATACAGCAGACGGAATGACATTGGTATGTGAGCTGTAGATATAGGCAATTCGACGGTGCAGAAGTAAAGCAGTAGACAGAAAACATGGATGATGGATATTATTCATGGAATAGTGATCTTGTGACATCGTTTTTAAGGGTTTTGTGACCAATTTCGAAGAGCTTGTCTTATGTATTATGGGTTAAGCCAAACAGTGGGAGAATGACAGTAATACATAGTTGTTTACCCTTTTTGATTAATTATACCATATTTTAGAACTAAGAAGAAGGACGTGAAAGAAGCAAATTTCTACTTTTTCATCGAAGCTTCCATTGCACTTTTCATCAGGAAAATAAATAAATAGATTTTTACAGTTACAAGGGAAAAAGTTTAGTATGGGACATGGTTTATACTTTTCATTTTCTTCTCTCGGATAAAAATGAGAAGTTTGAGGGGTTGGGGGAAAAAATGAGGGGAAAATGGAGAAAGGGGGAAAGAGAAGGGGGAAGGGGAAAAGGGGAAAAGAGGAAAAGAGGGAAGGTAGCGGAGAGGGTAGGTGTTAACGTAGGTTGCATTGGAGAAGTTTTATAATGAGGCTAATGGAGGTTGAAGAAGATAAGTAGAGATTGGAGGAGGATTCCTACATGCAGCAATGCCTCAAGCAACTTATTTCATTTTGAAATGAAATTTATTTTGTATTCTTCAGTTTCCTGATAAATGTGTTTGTGGTTTCTGTATTTGCTGAGGTATATATTTACAAACAGGGATGGGGTCCCTAAAATATAAAAATTTAGAATTATTTTGAAATTGTTTTTAACTTTTTAGAGAAAACTATTTTAAATTAATTACTTAAAAAACAAACTCATGGTTGAATTATTTCGTCTTACTTTTCGATTATATTATTTTTTTTTTATAATGACAAAGTAAACTTTAATGCCACCATTAAGCGACTAGTAAAAAAGCATGATTGTATTCAAATTGTATCTATATATGTAAAGTTGTAATCTCTGTTGCCTGTTTTCGTTTGTTTGTTTGTTTGTTTTTCCGATCACAACTTAGAAACCCCTTGACCGATTTGTCTCAAACTTTGATTAGGGAGCTCGGGAGACCCACGGGAATGTTCATAGCTTGGTTTTAAGATTCTAAGTTGAGTGGGAAAATGGTTCAAGTGCGGGTAAACGGCGTGAGTATTTTAAGTAACCTGGGCCGCGCTGGGTTCAGCAAGTATGCTTTAAGTTTTAATTCAGAATTGTATCCTTAATTTGTAGTAAAGTATGATACTGGTTTCTGTATTTGGACTGAATGAAACTAGTTTTACCAAAACAATAACTAAGATTGTAAACATCAGACGAGAACTCTCTTGGACGGGAAGGAAGGCCGAGCTTGTTTATTTATCTTTAACCAGTTCCAGAGTAGTCCAAATATGTCATAGTATGATATACACAACGCTACCCCCTCCCCCCCCTTAAGTTGATATTCCTTGTTTTGTAGGGGATGTACGGTAAAACTAACGGTGAGGTTTATGAGCTCTGTATAGAGAGGAATAACTCGCATGCTGATCAGTTTCCAAACAACAACCAGACTATTCAAGCCAATCTATATAAAGGTATGTCCCAGTCACTTCTTGTTATTAGCTTTAGAATTTATGATTGATCGATTTATGATGATTTAAAAACTTAAGATAACAAGGATTTAAAGATTACAAGGATTTAAAGATATCAAGGATTTAAAGATATCAAGGATTTAAAGATTACAAGGATTTAAAGATATCAAGGATTTAAAGATTGCAAGGATTTAAAGATATCAAGGATTTAAAGATTACAAGGATTTAAAGATTACAAGGATTTAAAGATTGCAAGGATTTAAGGATTACAAGGATTGAAAGATATAAAGGATTTAAAGATTACAAGGATTTAAGGATTACAAGGATTGCAAGATATCAAGGATTTAAAGATTACAAGGATTTAAAGATTACAAGGATTGAAAGATATCAAGGATTTTAAGATTACAAGGATTGAAAGATTACAAGGATTTAAAGATTACAAGGATTTAAAGATTACAAGGATTGCAAGATATCTAGGATTTAAAGATTACAAGGCTTATAAAAATGAATTCTTCAGGTGGTGTATTTCTTGGTTGTGAGTTTGGTGAGGCTGCCATGTATATCTGGGCTCTAGGTATTCTTGCAGCTGGGCAGAGTAGTACAATGACGGGTACATATGCTGGGCAGTTTGCCATGGAGGTAAGCTTATAGCAGCCCGGACAGAGTAGTTCAATGACGGTCACATATGCTGGGCAGTTTGCCATGGAGGTAAGCTTATAGCAGCCCGGACAGAGTAGTTCAATGACGGGTACATATGCTGGGCAGTTTGCCATGGAGGTAAGCTTATAGCAGCCCGGACAGAGTAGTTCAATGACCAGTACATATGCCGGACAGGACACTATACTGGAAAATAAGAATATCTGAAAAACTTTATCTTTAAAACTAAAATAAAAATCACAATTTTCCCTGATTTCAAAATCTTTTTGTTCAGGGTTTCCTGAATCTACGGTGGTCTAAATGGCAGCGAGTTCTTCTAACAAGATCTATTGCTATACTTCCAACCTTTCTCATCGCTTTCTTCGATCAGATAAATGTAAGACCATGAAGATAACCTTTTAAGACTTGCATTTCAAAACTAATTTAATCACAAGAAAGAGTAGCCCTGAGTAATAATGATACTCCTTTATGACCTGTCTTGTATAAATGATGACAGTAATAATGATAATACTCCTATAGAATCTCTCTGGTATAAATGATAACAGTAATAATAATAATATTCCTATGAATCTGTCTTGTGTAAATGATAACAGTAATAATGATAATACCCCTATAAATCTGTCTGGTATGAATGATTACAGTAATAATAATAATACTCCTATAGAATCTGTCTGGTATAAATGATTACAGTAATAATAATAATACTCCTATAGGATCTGTCTGGTATAAATGATAACAGTAATAATAATAATACTCCTAAAGGATCTGTCTGGTTTGAATGATAACAGTTATAATAATAATTAGGATCTGTCTGGTATGAATGATAACAGTAATAATAATAATTAGGATCTGTCTGGTATGAATGACCTGCTCAACTGTTTGATGTCCTTAATGTTACCCTTCGCTGTTATACCCTGCATAGCATTCACGAGCAACCACAAGTAACTTCGTTTACATTCACAAAACTTATTTTTATTCGTAAATTAAAAAAAGTATTTTTCTTAATTAAATCTTCCGAGTTTTTAAATTTTTCCTTTGCTCGACACTAATCCTTCATTCTTTTTCTACATTTTCTCTTCTTATTATTTTCTATTTTTCTTATTTTCTCTTTTTATTATTTTCTATTTTTCTGTTATTTTTCTCTGTTTTTTCCCTTATCATAATCATTTTCCAGTGGCAAACATAGACAGAAAACTCATTCTTTTGTTTAACGGTTATTATTATTATTTTTATCCTCATTATTAAGGATAATGGGAGATTTCAAGAACGGATTGATTTCTCAGATTCTCTCTATTCTGCTCTCTTGCCTGGTTATCTCCGTCAATATATACTTCAGTATCTCCTATCTGACAGGTAGATGAATTTGGAACTTGTTAAAGAAATAATTATTATTAGAAAGCCAAAATTGTCATTATCAAAGAAGTCTAGGGAGTTACTTAAATTCACATTTAAAGCTAGCTCATTAAAAAAAATTTTAGGTTTGGGTATTACACATTGGGCGTTTATCCTGTTCACTGTTGTTTGTGGTGTACTGTACCTCCTCTTCTGTGTCTATCTGACAGTTGATATGGTAAGACTGTACTGTACTGTACTGTAAGAAACTATACTGTAGTTTACTAGTACTGTACCGTAATGTGCTAGTAACACATAAAAAAAATTAAATGATTGAATAATGTTATCAAATTAAATCAAGAAATCTATGCTTTTGTTGACACTAAGTCTTTTTTTAAAGTTTTTAATCTATTATTTTGTATCTAGTTGTTATCTATGGGAAGTATGCATGTTGGAGAGTTTGGATTTGCTCAAACCTGGTTCAGTGTATCCTCACATCATGAGTACTCAAGGAAATAAATATTACTCAATAATAAATATAATTTCATCTCATTTTTAACCATTTTAATTTCATAAAGATTTATTTAAAGATAATCTGTTCGTAAAATGTTATCAAATTTAAATGTTTTCGTTTGAGAACAAAATATTACAAGGTTTTGACTTTTTAACATAAGATTTAAAAAAAAAGATTTCTTAATTTTTTTCCCGTTTTTTTTTCTTCATCTGTAATATTTTGTTTTGATGAAGGCATACTGAGGATGAAGATCAATACAGATCCAACAATACTATCTAAGTGGGGTGGAGAAGATCTGAAGCGTCAACAAAGCAAGAAAATCTTAAATTTGAAAGTTACACAATAATTATTGTTTTATATTTGAAACATTGGTAGACAAGGGTAAGTGATTGGAGCTCAACCCTGGAGCTCAACGTAACATAGCAGGACATGATACTTTGACTGTAGGTTGAATGTTAATAACAATAATAATTGATTGGTTCAGTTTGTGTTTGGTCAACATACAAGAATCTAGAATGTTGCTTAATGGGACAGTCATTATAATCTCAATGAAAAGAGTTGCCTACCCGATTCACAACCTTACCTTTTAATTTTTTCTTAAATTAAAAATGAGAAGGATAATTTCGTGTTTATAGCTTGAATTGTTTAATTCTTATAATTTCTTCATCACTTATGAAGCAAGAAATACTCAAGACACTTTTGTAGAGAAACCACAAATGAAAATGTTCAGGGTTAAAATACCAAAACATTGATATCTAATTTATTCTTGATCAGACAAAGCCTTAAATGGTACTGTTGTGAATTGAGTAGGGTCCCTTTAAAATACCTTAATAGTCCCATTAAGGGAGCTTAAAACAATACCAAAAATAGCATTCATTGTCACAAAATTCTAAAAGATTAGCAGATGTATTATTTCCACCTTTTTTCATAAAAAAGTGTTTGATCGAAAATTTTAAATTTAAATTTTATCTGTTCAAAAAAAATTTGCACTTGGAACAAGGAAAGGATTAATTTTAATCGATGAAAGGGAGCTTTGTATGAAATATATAAGAATAATATTCAAAATGAAGTTTAGAACTATGGGTTGGTTTTCATAAATACTTGTTTTCAACAATCTATATTTTAAATATGATGAAGGAAAACTTAATAAAGAAATTGAACAAATGCTACAAACTATAATTTTCTGATCCCAATATCATTGAAACCTGATTGAGTAAACCTTTATTGATGCATTAGAATACACATCTTGAAGCAAAACAGATCTACGACATCGGGTTGCACAGATATATGGTTAAGATGATTATATTTAGTAGTGTTTAGTTCATTTGGTAAATAATTTGTCATGACATGTTTTAGTCAAATGCTAAATATAAGAGATTTTAAAAATATTTTTACTAACACAGTTTATGTACTGTAGATCTTAAAGGGAATATAAGCGTAAATTCAAGTGATACTCCATGCAAGCATGTCAATGCCCGATTCAGAACCTTTAACCCTTCATCGGATCATTAATGTGGAATATTGTCGTTTTTCTAGAATTAAAATTGTTATTCTAATGATTCTTTATCCCGTATGTTTTACTGCTGGAGAAGTGTGCAAGTCAGTTTTTAGAATCCCACAATTAATAATTATCAGTTTTAAAAATTAAAAACATGGATATTTAATTAATTCTCAATCAGTCAAAGCTTTAAAGAATGTCATTGTGAATCGTGTCATCTTTGCATGTAGTGTCAATAAAAATTATGGTTATAGTCGTTTTAAATATTACTGAATGCCATATGAAATGTAACTCGAATGATCTGAAATAATTTCGTAAGAAAATTCTAAATTTTATATTATTGGGAAGAAATTATCTTGGAATATATTTTATATTTTTATCATGTTAAAACGCCATATAGAACCATGTAACTATCCAATATTGCCTTCCACAATATTTATACATTTTCCATTTTATGAATAATTGACTAAGTCTACTTTTTATCTACCCGATTTTGTTAATTTATGTGTTTCCTATTTTTTCAAATATACATAGAACGTATTCTTAAAATTTACATCGATCAAAGTTGTTCTTTTTCATTTTTCTGAAGAATTTTACCTTTGTTTCCAGAACGGTATATGTCATATTTATTTGAACTTTTTGCTGAAACAATTTGATTTTAAATAAATATTGTTCTAAATGACAATTAGTAAACAACATAGTTATACTATATTATAAAGATTTATTCACACACAAGGATATAAATACATATATAAATGGTATTTATTTATTTAATTATGATTTTATACAAAGATGAATAAATGGTCTAACGTGTGCTTTTTCAGATAAAATGATAATAGCGCGATTACATAATGTTGCAGTACGCAAGAATTGTTTACAAACATTGAATACGTACACTAGAGTTTCCTTAAAGAGCGCAAAGCACTTGTTTTCAGGGAAAGGGCATATTCACTGATATACTTCAGGGACTGAAAGCATAATTTCAAGTGCATCTCCATGCAAAGATAGCAATGTCCGATTCACAACGGTACCCTTAAAAGCTTTGATCAAGTATGAATTAGATTCTTTAGATATCAATCGTTTAAAGTTCCGAAAACAGATAATTTTCAATTGTAATTTCTTTGTTTTACTGTCGTGCGCATTTCTAATGCAGGAAACATGTATGAATAATCAGAATTAAACATTTTTAAGCCTACAAAGACGTAAGCATATTCCACATGATTTATCAGATAAACATTTAAAAGATAACATCATAAATCGGGAATTGACATCTTTGTACGGAGGGTCACTTGAAATTACACTAACATGTCCTTTAAGGAGTCCGGAAACTCTGTTCAAACTAAATTGAATAAAGCTGTTTTTTAATTGATCTAAAATGAATATGTGTTTAGGTGTAGGGTTTGAGACAATGTTTATTTACAGATTATCCTCCAATATGAGACCGAGCTCAGGGCATAATCTAGCCACTCTGCGTAAACTTATGAAGGATTGTACAATACAAAAAACCCTCCAAATGGAATAAGAAAGCCAGAAAAAAAATTTCATATCATTTTAACTCATATTAAATGGAAATGGGGTCCATCAGCACTACCGTGTGGTAGTAAATTAGGGAGAACTGTTTTCACCTAGTTTAAAAGTTATTATTATTGTTCACATGTACAGGACCGGAAGTATGTACAAGAACCCCTGGCAGCGTACATTGTTCCATCCTGTGATGCACACCATTCAGAATACCTCGCAGGAAAATATTTTTATCTAACAAATCAAAACCAACAAACGTTGAGACTTTTATAGACGACTTTGAGAAATTATTAAGTTTATTTTTTATTATTTTTATATTTTATATTTATATTTTCAAGTGTGTAATCCTGTATATTGTGGCAATAAGACTTATTTTCGTCTCTTTAATCAATCGATTAGTGTTTCACGTTGGGTTCCCTTTCTAATTTACTCTGGATTGGATTGGATTGGATTGGATCAATTTGGATTTGTATGAAATGTCTGCTTATGGGTGAGATCGCATTCAGATAGTCTTTAAAATCAGGAATTTTTTTTTTGAGAATTTAATTTCAAAAAGATGTTTTCATAGATGTTGATGAAAGAAGACGTTATTTGAGCGGATTTACGGGTTCCGCCGGCACTGCAGTGGTTACACAGAATCAGGTAGAAGACTAAATATTCAACAGGTCATCTTTTCTTTTCTGGATTTGATCCAAGAAAGCTGACAAAAAATGTGTTAATTGATCCATCTACAGCAATTAAAAAATTGCTGTCGATTTGTCAATATCTGGTGTCCCGACAGGCTCCAATTCTGGCTGTGCCGGTGTCATGCGTGGAGCCATCTCTTACCTACAGCGGACTCTGGTTCTACGCGGCGAATCGCAAGCTTCTTCAAATATAAACAAACTTATAATTTAATTTATTTTATTTTAATGACACCGGCCTTCACTCAATTGATTTAATTTGCATACTTCCACTGGAGCCCACAAGGTTCTACCAAGTCAGCAAATCAACCACCGGCAACAAATCACTTTCACAGTTACACATTTTACAGTTACGTCATTGTTGTTCAAGATTAATCAGTTCACAATGTTCTCTGCGCTATCTTGATGAGTTTTTGTGTATTTTTGTTTTCGTGATATTCGTGTAATAATTTTCTCTGTGGCCAGGCTTTTCTTTGGACAGACGGTCGTTACTATCTCCAGGCGCAGCAGGAGATGGATATCTCTTCTTGTCTCAAGGTAACATATTTAAACTAGATTAAAAACCTGGAACCCGGCAGCCATGTTGGTACTGATCGACTTCTTGTTTCAAGGTTACATATTTAAACATAACGGAAAAGCATTTTGTCTGGTTATTAACATATTAACATCCTTTATTTCAAAATATTTCATTTAAAAATTATTCATTTGTTTCAAGATAGCATTTATTCAAATGGGCAATAATAATTAGTTTTAAAGTTTTAAAAGTTTTAGAGCTAAACTTTCACTTTCGAGAAAGAACTGATATTTATTTTGTTGTGTGGGGATTCAATTTTTATTGATACATTACCAGAAAGGGTTATTCAACATACTAAATTCAGCCCGGAATTAAACCTTCAATCTAAAAAATGGAGCCACATTATTTGATCAGATAATGCAACAAAAATGTTTTACTTCATTAATAACTTTCCTTTTTCCAGTACGGACTGGAAAAGTATGGCGGGAAAACTTGATTTGGCTGGATCTCAGCTGATATCTGTTGAAACTAATCTCGTGGATTTACTCTGGACAGCTGACAGGTACTTAAAAATATCACTGAAAGGATTACCCACAAAGGATTAGATTTTAGAGACAATACTGTCATATCTTAAACATTCTTGGTTTCCATTGTGGGTAACCCTGTAGGCTGTATGTATTGTATAGTTAAAGTTCAGACAAATTTTAGGGAGACAACCAGACCAGCAAGGCCTACCAATCCTGTCTTCCCATTAGGACTGGAGTTCACAGGTTCATATCTTATTAAAAAACGTCTGTGAATGATTTATAATGAAAAATAAATTTAGAAAACCTAATTTTAGGCAAAAATATTGAAAATATTCGATTTGAAAATTGATCATTTTTAATTGTTGTTTCTCTTTAAAAATCACTTACACTGCAGAAACAATAAAGGAAATTTACGTTTAACATTTTAAATTAAAAATTACAACAACTTTGTCATTGTTGCTCAGATAAAAGTATAAAGGGTATCTTTGTGAATCAGAGTTGACATTTTTTTATTAGGTGATACCCTTGAAAATCCGCCATCAGTCCCTTTAAGAGATGAATATTTAGGTCGAACCTGGCAAAGTAAAGTTGAAGAAGTGAGGAAAGAAATTAAGAAAGATCGTTGTGATGGAATCGTTTTGTCAGCCTTAGACGAGGTCGCCTGGGTTCTCAACCTTAGAGGTTAGAGGATTATTACTAAAGGGAATGCTCTCCAATTTGAGAAACCACATATAAAACTCATTTTTGATCTTTAAAAATGAGCTTATCTTTTCTTTCGAAGATGTTACTGAGACCCGGTGTTATAATACTACTTAACAGTTCAAATAACACTAGATCAATTGATCAGGATTATCGGATCAAGGATCAAGCTCAATTGATCAGGATCAACATTACTTGATCAGGATTATCGGATCAAGCTTAATTGATCAGAATCAAGCTCAATTAATCAGGATCAATAGTACTTGATCAGGATTGTAAAGCGTATATGATCTGAGATGAAAACTTTAGAATCATGGATATCAAGATTAATGCTTAAACTCCTGAGCTGGGAACTTTTGAATTGTGGATATCGGGATTAAGGCTTGATCCACTCTTTTTCTTAATCTCAAAATTAAATAATGCTTGTTCTCCTCTTGTTATTAATCTCCAGATTAATTAACCGGTCGGGATTTAGGATATCCCATTCTAAAGTTTTCAGCTCTGGTTTCACTAAACTCGAGTTTAATACGCATTCGATATCCAAGAAAGAAGTATAAAATTCAACCAATCAGCGTATCATGTTAAGATGTACTCTTTAACTTTTGAAAAACCGGGTTTTTTTTCTGGTGTTAATTGTGTCATATCAATTGAACTAAACATCGATTAAATAAATGCAAGTTTTGGATTAATGTTTAAGACTAACGTTTAAATGATGATAGTTCTAAAATGTGATAAAATATATTTTTCAATAAGTTCATATTATCATGATTAAATTTATATTTGCTTGATTAAATGCTTTAAAAGCCGGCTTGTGAACAGCTGACTTTAATTCAAGCGGATATTAGTTCAATCGATATAGCATTGTATCTGTAATTGTTATTAAATGTAGCTTTTATACAGTAGGGATATCCAAAAAAAGAGGATTAAGAATAATATCAAAAGTGTGTACATTGGATACTCAGATTAAGCTATCAGGATTAAGGAAATCTCATTCTAAAGTTTTCAGCTTAGGATGATCAAGTTTAATTGATCAGGATCAGGAGTATTTGAACAGGATTGTCCAATCTAGATCGACTGATCAGGCTAATTCAATTCAATGATCGATTTGGTTCAATTAAAAATTTATTTATTTATTTGTAATATCTTCTACTTCTTTTAGGCTCTGATATTGCGTTTAATCCCGTGTTCTTCAGTTACTGTGTTATTACGCTTAAGGAGGTGAGCAGAGACATGATTGCTTTTGTCAGGGGAATTTTGGGGATTTTAAGGTTTTATGGAAACGTTGAAATGAATTTTAAGAAGACTCTGGAAACGAGGTTATCTCTCCTCAGGGGTTTCAAATAGTTCCAGGTTCTCAAGAAGTATTTTTTGTTGAAAACTGTTGTACAGGGAGATCCATCAAACTGTGGAATATGAAGACGACTGTTGGACTAAAGTAATGATTTTAGATCGTCTAATGAGTGAGATACGCAGAAATTGTGCTTGGCAGAGTGCCACACAGATCATTTTACTTTAAGGTTGATTATTAAGTTACTGTTACTACTAGTAACAATACACATAATATTGGTTAAATGTCGTCTTCCTATTCCTCAGTTTAATGGGTTCGACTAGAAAATAATTTTGTTGTTTAGGTTGTTCTTTTCCTGCAACCAAGTCAGGTGAATCCTACTGTACAAGATGCTCTCACATCTGGAGATATGGAGGAAAATGTTTTCATTCAAGATTATTCCAAAATAAAAGGTACAGAGGCTTAAACTTATGGTTGGGATTGCACTTAGCTACAACTTGTAATTTAAGAATTTATGTTGATTCCCGGGGATACACAGGAAATTCGTCAAGGAATAAATAAGAAATGAAAAAAGGGGAATATCGGAGACCAACAGACCCTTTAATTGACGTATTTCTTTCTTATTTTCTAGATTTTTCTTATAGGGCTTTTTTTCTTTATTATTATTTTTATTATTAGCAATCAACCTACAGACAAAGTACAACGACCTGTAGGTTGAAATACAATGAAAACAGGACTGAGCTCCTCCACTTGCCCTGGTCTATATAGGATCTAGTAGTTCAGTCCTGGCCTGAATTATTCAAATCATTTTTTAGCTTTTCTTTATTGCAAACCAAGTTTTTGAAAATCTCTGTATATTTATGATATAACGGTCAGAGCTTTTCCAAATGGAAAGGTTTTCATGTTTTTCACAGTTTCAATCAACTGCCTTTTCATTTATTAGCTAAATACTGAACAAAAAGCGCTTTTCCAAAATTCCCCACTCAGTTTTAACATTTGGACAAAATAGACAGAATTAAGAGGTGATGGGGGTCGATTTGCCCCCCACCCTACAGCTAAAACTGGTTTTGAAGTACCTTAGCAGTCACCATATCTTGCATAGCTCGAGTTGAAGTGGTGCCACAATCAAAAACATTGACTGTTAGTTTATGAAGACCAGTCATTGAAATATTAGTGTCACAAACTTTATGTGGAGTCTAGCACTCCATAGCATAGAACACAAACCAATAAATCTTGATTCACGAATAAAAGACAAAGATCTTCATCATTTCATCTCGTTTAAGAATTTCCATTATTACATTTTTTTCCTCATAAGATTATCATATTACTCTCCGGAAAATTTAAACAGTGTTTAAACATAACTTAGAACTGTCGTAGGAGGCTGATTTTTTGCATTCAAACTCAGAATTATGTATATTACATGCATTTTTTGGTTTAAAGGAATCTGAGCAACGCGCATTTTGTGAAAAAATGCGACTTATTTGACAGTAAATCAATGTTAACTTCATTAATTGCACTTGCACATTTTTCCTGACACTCTTGAAACAAATATGCGCTAAAAAAAATTCACCTCCAAAGGCTTAAATGTCCGCGCGCGCGCGCAATAAAAGAAAATATCTTTGAATACTTATGTGCTAAGTTTGGCCTAAGTTAGAATAACAGTTGCATGAGATACATCAAACAATAGCAAAATTGGGACATAAGATTTAGGATCTAATATCCAGTAAATGATTTCACACTTCTGTTCAGTAGATTGAGACAACCCATTACTATTCTCTACCTTCTCTCCATCTAAAAACTCAGGGCACATACAACATGCTAAATCTAAATATAGCATCAACTTAAAAAAAAAAACAAGCAAATGCATTATAAATTAGTAAACAAACAAACTAACTAAAGAGTAAATCACACCACATGTATTATTTACAAATGAAGAACCAATTTTTACTTATTAAAGGGTTTTTAACAATTTACCATTGTAACATTAGATAAATAAATAATAATAATCAAGACAAGAGCATAAGTGAAATATATATGCAACCCTTCATGATGTCAATTATTCCAACTTGATATAGTCGTATTTCACACGAATTTTTAAAAATATAATTTCTTTGATATTTGCTCATTATAATCATATGAGGTTAAAAATGTAATAAGGGAATTCTTACACTCCGTTAAAGAATGCATCAAGATTAGTTCATCTCGTTTAAGAATTTCCATTATTAAATTTTTTCCTCATAAGATTATCAAAATATATCTGCTCTCTGCTCTGGTATCCTGTACTGGAAAGGTCTCGCGTTCTGATACTGCACCCAGATGCTTGATACTGATAACTAATTCTAGATTATATATCTGGTCTGGCATCATGTACTGGTAAGATCTGGTTTTCTGATACATCCAGCCATGCTCTGGTCAACCTACTACCTCCAAACAAGATTCATTCGAAGGAATTCATTCAAAACATATTAAAATGATTCCCTTATACGTCATTTACAGCTTAACAAACACATTCAGGGATCTCATTTAGAAGACGACATTTCTCTCTACGAACGGCATGGTATGCTGATTAAACTAGTTTGGTGTGCAATACTGATTTTACGAACACTTGGATTAAATATTTAAACTACTGTAGGAGTTCTAAAGTTAAGTAATTCAACTAAACATTAGTTTAACAGAGAAGATGTTGGAGTAGAAAAAGTCTTATTTGAATCCAATTTTTGTCGAAATTCAGACAAGAAATAGTTCAAATTTACGAAGAATAAAAGTTACGAAAAAAAAATACAACACTACTGAAAAAAAACCATGCCTTTGTTTAAACTTTCAATAGTTTATTATAGGATCAGTAGTTCAAATAACAGTCGTCCAAAATTTACAACTACTAATTGTTTAAACTGTTGTTTGGTGTTTATAGAGTCTTGACTACGTGCTTACGTATTGTACATTCACATACAGTAAAATTATGATTAAAGATAAAATTACCTCTACTTGTAGTTCAATTCGGTAATTTTCTAGAGAACGGTTCTTTTTTAAATGTTATATACACATCGTTCTCTAGGATTTAGTTCACTTCTTTCTCTAGGATGGAATTAAGAATGTTAAAGAGACTGTAAGCGTATTTGCAAATGAGCCTCCATGAAAAAATGACAATTCCTGATTTATAACTGTATCTTTAAAAGCTTTGTCTGATCAAATGTGAATTAGATATCCATGTTTTGTTTATGTAAACAGTTTATTTGCAAAAGTGACTTGCAAGTTGTGCATCTCGTGCTCATAAGAAACAATGGAGAAATTCAAATAAAATCTTACCGAGTGTGAAAAACGAGGTTATCTTCCTCATTTTTGATCAGATAAAGGATTTATGGGTAAATAAATCGTGCAATCTTTGCATGGAGGCTCACTTGAAATCTTGCAAAGAAGACTAATTTTTTTGAATGGAGGCTCACTTGAAATCTTGCAAAGAAGACTAATTTTTTTGAATGACTGTGAATCAAGGTGACCCCAGTAGCCAACATGAAAGCGATTAAAAACCCTGTGGAACTTAAGGTTTAAAGTTAATCCAAAGATTCAAAGTTTATTATTTTTTAATTTAACAAAGGTGGAAATTAATAAATATAAAGAATTAATAATTAACTATTTCTTTAATGTGGCCGAGAGTGTGCTAGTGAAGTAAGTATTACAAATAGTCAGAACAAGCTCAACCGCTATTCATTAAATCCGACCTCAAATGGATTACAGCAGTCAGTTGTCACGGCTTCAAAAATTCTAAACCAGTGATAAATATTTTTTTAGGGATTTGAAAATTGTCATATTCGTGATGCGGCCGCACTCTGTGAATACTTCAGCTGGTTAGAGAAGCATGTTAAGACTGGTCAGGTACAGGGTTACCCACAAAGGATGACGATTCTACGGCAAATTCTTTATGTCCGTTTCCTTCACACACTTTTTTCAGCGACACCTTGTACATTGTAAAACAAAAACAAAAAAGGTGCAGATTCAAAAAAAATCCTGGATTTTCAACATTTAATGAAATTTGATTTTTGTTGGGGGCAAATTTTTGAAATATTGATCATCTATAACTCTTTCCTGGGGACATGTGAAGTCCCACACAAAATTTTGGCCCGATCGGTACAGCCGTGTTGAAGTTTATTTGATCACAAACAACAGACAAGCAAAGGATATACATACTAGGCTTTTAGGGCGCTTCGTGTTCATCTTCTATTTTAATTGTGAACATTTTGTCTTTGTATGAATCGTAAAACACAACAAAAGAAATGTCGGAGTTTTTTTTTAAATCGTGGATTTTTAAAATTTTTTCAAAATCGAATTTTGTGAGTGGCAAATTTTTGAAAATTCAAGGTCCCAAAAAAAATTGGGCCCAATCGGTTCAACCGTTTTTACGTTTATTGGATACAAACAAACAAACAGACATCCAGACAGACAAGTAAAGTATATATATATATAGATATAGAAACAAGCAAAGTATATATAAGAAAGTAATGTATATTATAAATGCTAAGTTTCTAGTATAGATGGTGCTGACTTCTGCAGTGAACTAGATTGATTTTTTGTTAGATAAACTGGTTTATGTGTATGGGTTAGGAAATATGCATTTTGAGAGCATAGTTAGAATAGTTTACGCTAGGTGACAGACAAGTAGACTTGGTACCGTCTCATGCTTTTCATTTTAAATTGGTAAAAAATGTATGTTTAAGTCTTATGTAAAATTAACGCAAAATCTCAATAGTGAAAACTGAATTAAGTACATTAAAGATAAAAACGTTAAGTTATCTTATCTAGCGGCGAGAAACAGCTTTATATAAAGTTAACAACACTCATATCAGCTTGTAGTATATGAAAAGGAGATTTATAGGGTATTCTCTTGTTTTTGGTGGTTGTACTTCTAGATCTTGCTTAGAAATACAACTAATTATATCTATAATTTCAAAAAGAATTTTTTTATACTTAAAGGGAATGACGACATTTTTTGCTGGCAAAAATTTAATTTTCAGCTTTAAACTTCCCTGGAGTCATGTGAGTTCCTTCACAAAATGATTGAATTACCCTTAGAAAAAAATTAACACCCCCCCCCCCCCTAAAGTTATATTAAGGAATTTTTGGCCTTTTTATGTCAAAACCCTGAAGAAAAAAAGTTGATTTTGCGCCGCACGTACAAAAATTTTAAAAACCATTCTTTAAAATCAATATCAAAAAGCTGCAAGGTTTCTGCTCTTTTTTCAGTTGGAAGGGATGTCCCCCCGTTCCCCCCCTTAGCAATCTCTGCTCTAAAGGAGTATGCTTGCGGCAATTTTACAAACTATTTCTACACATATAACACAAATATTAAAAAGAAAAAAATCGTACCAAAACCTGCATATTTTTGTTTTAATATTTTTTGGGAAGTTTAAATGTAAGAACTATTCAAATCTTTGACTTGATCCCGACATTAAAGGCCCTAGAAGCTGTACTTTAAGTAAATAGTAAATAATGATTTCTCTAGGTTACTGAGATATCTGGCGCCGATAAGTTAGAGGGGTTCAGAAAACAGCAGGAGAACTTTGTGGGTAGGAAGATTTTATTGTGTTTTTTTTCTTCAGAGTTTTAGGAAAGGAATTAAAGCATTGATATGAACAGGACTAAAGTTTATCTCTGTATTCTCTTACAACAGGAGTAAAGTTTATCTCTGTATTCTCTATGAACAGGGCTAAAGTTTATCTCTGTATTCTCTATGAACAGGAGTAAAGTTTATCTTTGTATTCACTATGAACAGGAGTAAAGTTTATCTCTGTATTCTCTATGAACAGGAGTAAAGTTTATCTCTGTATTCTCTATGAACAGGAGTAAAGTTTATCTCTGTATTCTCTATGAACAGGAGTAAAGTTTATCTCTGTATTCNACAAGACCATAGTTTATCTCTGTATCCTCTACGACAAGGACTAAAGTTTATCTCTAAATTCTCAATGAACAAGACCATAGTTTATCTCTGTATCCTCTACGACAAGGACTAAAGTTTATCTCTAAATTCTCAATGAACAAGACCATAGTTTATCTCTGTATCCTCTACGACAAGGACTAAAGTTTATCTCTAAATTCTCTATGAACAGGACTATAGTTTATCTCTGTATTCTCTATGAATAGGACTAAAGTTTATCTCTCTAATCTCTATGAACAGGGCTGAAGTTTATCTCTCTAATGTCTATGACCAGGACTACAGTTTTTCTCTAATATCTCTATGAACAGGACTAAAATGTATCTCTGTAGTCTCTATGACCAGGACTACAGTTTATCTCTAAAATCTATATGAACAAGACTAAAGTTTATCTCTATAATCTCTATGACCAGGGTTAAGTTTCCCCTCTATAAGTGGATCTGGACCTAATGGGGCAATTATACACTACCGTCCATCTGAAGAAACTAACAGGTGTATTAAAATACCAATTATACATTACTATCCATCTGAAGAACTACCAGGTATATTAAAATACCAATTATACATTACCGTCCATCTGAAGAAATTACCAGGTATATTAAAATACCAATTATACATTACCGTCCATCTGAAGAAACTACCAGGTATGTTAAAATACCAATTATACATTACCGTCCATCTGAAGAAACTACCTTTTAATATTTCCAGGCAGCTTAGTCTTGATGAACTATATCTAATAGACAGTGGAGCTCAATATAAGGTAAATGAGCTTATTTAGTTAATTTAAAACTTGTATCTTGTCCCAACAAAACAATTACAATGTAATTACTAGAAAGTTTTCATCTTTATTAATTAATTAAAGGGACTGTAGGCATGAATTAAAGGGACTGTATGCATGAATTAAAGTGACCCTTCATTTATTTAGTGGCATGCCACATTTACAAAAGTACCCTTTAAACCTTTGTTTGATCTAAAAGGAATGAGGAAGCCATTTTTTTAGTTTTAAAAATTCAAAATTTTCAACTTTGGGTTCTCTTCAAAATGTACTTGCGGATTTCTACTACACTGAAAATTGCGAAAATTGTCAGAATTAAACTCTTTTTATGGTAAAGACTGACGATATATTCCACATTATTGATTAGATGAAGGTTTGAAAGGTACCGTTGTAAATTTGGGCATTCTTTTATTTCTAGGGGGTTATTGCAGTTACAACGGCAAACATTTTAATAGTTAGTTTACAAGATGGAACCATTTATTTGTGATGTTAGTTACTTTCCCAAAGGCATAATCCTAAGGGCGACTTCCTAAGTGACAATTTCCCCAAGCGGCAACTTCCCAAAGGTTAGGTTAGGCCCTCTGAGGCGCTGCAGGCTGCAATGGGAAGGGCTGAGCGTTGCGGCTAGGATGAGATAGGGGCCGAGCGCCGTGGCTAGAACAGGCTGAGGGCCGAGTGCTACGCCCAGTACAGACTTGGGAATTTGCCGCTTGGGAAATTGCACATTTGGGAAGTTGCCACTTGAGAAAAATCCTTTGGGAAAGTACCGAACATATTATTTGTTTATTATGTTTGTTTACGGGATGGAACCATTAATTTGTTTATTAATGTTTGTTTACGGGATGGAACCATTTATTTGTTTAGTATGGTTTGTTTATGGGGTGGAACCATTTATTTGTTTATTAATGTTTCTTTACTGGATGGGACCATTTATTTTTTTATTAATATTTCTTTACGGGATGGAACCATTTATTTTTTTATTATTGTTTGTTTACGGGATAGAACCATTTATATGTTTATTAATGTTCGTTTACGGAATGGAATCATTTATTTGTTTTTAATGTTTGTTTACAAGATGGAACCAATGATTTGTTTATTAATGTTTGTTTACAGGATGGAACCACTGATGTGACCCGAACATTGCATTTTGGAAACCCTACAGAGTATGAGAAAGAATGTTTCACCAGGGTTTTAAAAGGTTCATTTATATATTGGATATATTAATATAATAGAATGGCTATATCATAGACAAGTTTCTCGTTGGGTTGTCATTCAGTACAACCTCGATTGTATTTGATATTTTAATATTTAGACAAATTTCTCAATATCTCAGTAAATTTTTAAAGGGAGTGACCGGCTATGTAAGGTAGTTGAACTGAGTATGCAGTGTTGTGGAAAGCTTCTTTCGGATTCATTTGAGACATATTAAACGTTTTAAAGATCTGTAAATCCTGAGTTTGAGCGCAAATTCGACGTTCAAAACTCCTACTTTGGGGGGTGGATACGTTTTCAGAATTAGTTTTTTTTAAATTATTAAATAACGACAACGAAAAATAAAGTAAAAATTATACAGTAGTCTAATTAGATGGTTAGGAACATATTTCTCAAAAGAAATTTGTCAATAATTCAACGCTCAAATCGATTATTTCGTTTGCATTATTATATTGAATTTCTAATTTTCTTTGAATTTATTCACAGATTTCATCAAATTCTTCAAATGTCGTCTTTTCAATAATAATTCTAGAAAATCTGCGAAAATCTTTGTGAATAATGAGGAACTAGAAAAATGAGATAATAGAAACTAATAATTGAACAAGATTACTTATTTTCGATGAAAAGATTAATTTTTATTTTCTCAACATGTTCCTATACATGACGTCTGTAGTTAATTGTAGAACTTTTTTACATTTTATGTCGACGTTATTTAATAATTTAGAAAAAAACTAATTCTGAAAACGTATCCACCCCCAAAGTAGGAGTTTTGAACATCGAATTTGCGCTCAAACTCAGGATTTACAGATCTTTAAAACGTTTAATATGTCTCAAATGAATCCGAAAGCAGCTTTCCACAACACTGCATACTCAGTTCAACTACCTTACATAGCCGGTCACTCCCTTTAAGGTACAAAAACGGCTGACCACATATTGAAAATTCTAAAACTAGGAGCATTTGATTCTACTTTTCTCTCGGAAGGCAATTTAATGTTTGCAATGTATTAGCTACAGTAGCTCATTTCTCCTTACTCCCAGTCCCGGGCCCACAACCTACTGAGACTCCTCTCTGTTTCGGACCCTGAACTTCACTTTTAACTCTTTTTTATTACAAATTGTTTTTTAAAGAATGAAGGATGTACAGAATGCTACCTTAAGTTTACACCATNGTATCTTTAATATCTCTCTCTAACAAAGAAATAATTTGTTGTCGGTCATTTTGTAAATTAATCGGCGAGGAAAAATATGTAATAATACGTTTGAGATTCTTTTTAACTAATTTTAACTTATGTAATAAATAAATGGATGAGAAATTAAGTGAAGGCCCTTCCAGTCAAGAAAACAACGTTTCTCGAATCAAATTTGTTGAACTAAATAATTAATCTCGAGACTAACATTATCTCGAGATTATGTTAGTCTCGAGATTAGCAAAAAGAGAGGATTAAGCATTAATTCTGATATCCACTATTCTAAAGTTTCTAGCTCTGGCTCAGAAGTACTAAATATTTTGTTGTTTAATTGATTTATAACATATTTAGTACTTTAAAAAAATGTTTATTGTTGAAAGGGACTATAAGCATAATATCAAGTAACCCTCCATGCAAAGATGGCAATTTCTGATTCGTGACGGTACTATTAAAAGCATATTCTGACCAGAAGTATCAGGAATTAATTAGATATTAATGTTTATCATTTTAAAAATTGATTATTGGCATCGCTCGGAAGAGTTGGCTGTGTACCATCAAGGGAATAGTGATAAGTTTCAATTGTGGTTCTTTACAGAAGGAACTTGCGCATTTCTACTGCAGGAAAACATTAGTAGTGATTAAAATACCTTAAAAGGCCTTTAAACCAAAAAAAAACAATATCCTCCACATAGATCAGATTAAGGTTTCAAGGGTATCATTGTGAATCGGGCATTGCCATCTTTCTTGAAAGGGTCACTTGAAATTATGCGTACAGTCCCTTTAAGAACATTATTGTTCTAGGTTTAGATTACGCGCACGGGACCGGTCACGGTGTCGGATCATTTTTGAACGTGCACGAGGGACCCATGGGAATATCCTATAGATATAATTCTAACGATCAAGGTGGGTTTTTACAAACTATTTAAATTACGGTCATCGTCGTAAATATCAATACAATGAAGATGACTTTCTATTTTATTTCTTATGTCTACCAACTGTCGATTAACAGATTCTCTTTGTTTATTTTCAAACTTTTCATTTGCTAAAAGCTTGATGAAAATCCAAAACTTTAATATAAATTTCGTCCTTATTGTATTGATATAAATACCGAATACTGTAATTCATTGAAACTAGGTCAGCAGTTAAATTAAATTTACAAACCTTTATTATTATGATGATTTCATCTTCATTAGTATTTAAAAGAACATATATTTTTTATTTAGATTGTTATATTATTGAATAGCCTGAATAGTATCAATAGTGTAGTAAGTACAGTACTTAGGTTCCATCTAATTTTGATGTGGATCCGGATCCAGGATCCGCACTGAAGAAAAATGGATCCGGATCCAGGTCGTAAACATTTATTTTAGATTTACTGATTCTTTTCTTTAACAGAAGAAGAATTTTCTAATTATTTTTCTTACTTTTTAAACTTATTTTTATGCACCAACTTGATGAACCATTTAGAGATGAGGACATTTTTGATAATCTCTTTTTTTAACAGTTCAGATTTGAGTTTTGAAAGCAGAAGTTTTTTCTTGCAGTTTCATCACTTTCCTAGATGAACATTGTGTTGAAATGTTTAAAACTTAAGGGGGAATGAACTGTCGCAGCGGAGAGAAATTTTTGTTTTGAGCAAGGAATGATATTATCTAGGTTTGGAGGAAGGAATGATATTATCTAGGTTTGGAGGAAGAAATGTTATTATCTAGGTTTGGAGGAAGGAATGATGCTATCTAGGTTTAAAGGATGGAATAATATTTTCTAGGTTTGGAGGAAGGAATGATATTATCTAGGTTTGGAGGAAGGAATGATATTATCTAGGTTTGGAGGAAGGAATGATATTATCTAGGTTTGGAGGAAGGAATGATGTTATCTAGGTTTAAAGGATGGAATGATATTATCTAGGTTTAAAGGATGGAATGATATTATCTAGGTTTGGAGGAAGGAATGATATTAACTAGGTTTGGAGGAAGGAATGATATTATCTAGGTTTGGAGAAAGGAATGATGTTATCTAAGTTTAAAGGATGGAATGATATTATCTAGGTTTGGAGGAAGGAATGATGTTATCTAGGTTTGGAGGAAGGAATGATATCATTTAGGTTGGAGGAAGGAATGATATTATCTAGGTTTGGAGGAAGGAATGTTATTATCTAGGTTTGCAAGAATGAATGATATTATCTAGGCTTGGAGGAAGGAATGATAATATCTAGGTTTGGAGGAAGGAATGATATTAACTAGGTTTGGAGGAAGGAATGATATTATCTAGGTTTGGAGGAAGGAATGATATTATCTAGGTTTGGAGGAAGGA